GAATTAGAGGGCGAAATACAAAGTCCCACTAAATAAATTAATGATTAGTATATTTATTCACCTGGATCCAAGTTCCGTAAGGTGGTTGAAGCGCCACAATTCCGGATGACAGCTGTCTTCCCTGCCGTAATAAGGTAGGATTTTCATTTTATTTATAAAATACGGACCATTTTGAACATTGAGTGGACAAAGTGAACAAAACAGTACCAAATTGACTAGTAATAATGACATTGACCATGTTTTTCATGAAGTGAAGTGGGCGTTACAAACGAAAAGCCTAATCTAAAAGAAACATTTTTAATGATACTGATAATAGTGACGTAAACCAAACTAAAATAGAAAGAAAGAAACGCAAAAAGAAAGAACGGACTGAATTTATTAGAACAACCTACAGATATTCCCAATTTAGGTGTCATGAGTTCCATTAAGGACTTGCATAGAGCAATATTATAGTTTTGGGCTTTAATACGAATAGTAAAATTAATAAAAATAAATCTAAAGTTTACTAGAAAAAAACGAATCATTTAAGAACAATTTTTAACTTGATGCTACAAAAAAATCATATCTTGAGGGGGTATTTAAGGGGCATAATAAGACTGAAAATACTTTAGACACAAATTGTGATGAAATTGTTGCAAATAAAAATTCAATTTCATATGCAATACCGAGAAAAACATTATTATTATTTCAGTAAACACAACATACGCAATTATTAGTAATAGTCCTGGGAAAAAGTAACGAAATTCAAAATAAATTAAATAATCAACCCGACTAAGGAAAATCTAAAGAAAAATCAGAACACAATTGATCATATTGTAATAAAATGAAGATTTAATTAAAACAGCAAATAATACCAATTTAAAAAAAACAGGAATTAATTACGAGGGTACTTAAGCCTGATGGGCCAAAATTCATCTTATATGATGTGGATGTAGACTTGGAAAAAGGAAATATTTTAGAGGCTATTGTAAAACAGAATTTAACTAAGAATGTAGAGAAAATTAATGATACAATTAATAATGAAAGAATAAAGCCAAACTTCAAGACAAAAGCACAGTGCATTGGATTATTAAAGCAGAATCTGAGATAAGAGAAAATTTATTAAGTTTGGGAAAGGTTTAAAATAAATGGGAATCATTGCAAAACACAAAACTTCATTTCTTTGGTAAGATGTCAAAGTTTTGGACACCCTCCAACATTTTGCAAGAAGGAGAGTGACACATGTGGCAAATGTGCGGTAAGGGGTTGTACTTTTAAAAGTTGTACAGCGCAAACTGTACAAAAGTTGGAAAATCAAAAAGCCATCAAAAATTTAAATTTCATAGTACATGATAATTTACAAGATAATGAAGAAATTAAACAAGCGGTTATAGAACTTATAGAACAGAAAGCATTAAAAATATTCGTGACAAAACAGTTCCCAAAATTGTGCCACGTACAATAATTGGTTGAACAAAAAGTTAACCAATAAAAGAATAGGAATTATGAGTCTAAGAAGAAAATATTAAAATGAAAAAATATAGAAAACAAGGAATCTTTAAAACAGAATTATAAATGTGAAAGAGAAAAATATGTTAAAATGGTTAGACAAGCAAACAGAAATCTTAAAAAATTCATAAATCAACATGGTAATGAGGAACCATGGGGGTGGGGAGGGGGCAATTTACAACATCAAAAATAGAAAAGAAAGTAGAATTAATACTATTTGGGATGGAACGGGTGGAGTAACAACTACATGGATGAATACGGCAAATTAATAGACCATTTAATTCCTAATGATGAATTCAAAGAAAGTATATAAACAATAAAAATAAAGAAACATTTCGAAGAAACGGCATCATAGACATCTTAGGAATCTTCTTAGAATTATTCTTGGTATTTCAGAAGCTTTAGAAGTCTTTTCAAAAAATGATTTTGGATACCTTTACGTGAAAATTCTCTGCACTCTTAGAAATTACCATAAAAATCTTTTTAACAACTGTCTTAGCTTAATCTAGGTCTAAATCGTTTACTGAAGACAGGAACATTTCCGCACACCTTCGATGGAGTAGGCGTTGCTCAAAATTTGAGTGGAAGTCGTAGCAACATTTCTAAATCTTTATAGCTTCTTAGAGATCTTGCGAGACATTTTAATAATCTTGCTAAAGCCCATCTTAGAAGCTACCTGAAAAAATTTAAGAATCTCCTAAAGTTAGCAATAGGATAACAATCCCAGAATTCTGATCGAACTTGAGGTTAGCAATGGAATTCTTTCAATTAAGTTTCGATTTCCACACTACGATTAAAAGGGACCTTTAGAAAAAAAGCAGGCACATAAAAATTCTATTGGATCGCAATCCTAGAGGTGAAAAAGCGCTTGCGTCATGACAGTGAGTTTTTTTGGAATTCTAGGTTTCTACTACCCAGTTTTTCCGAGAATTTAATTCAGGGAATCTTAAGCAAAATAAAAAGCGATTTAAAAAATTCAGTGCCATAGTTGGCGGTGTTTACCGTGAACGAACCTCAAGCGATAGCTGGAAAGTATTCCAAAATTAGTGCAATTTTTACAGGTTGTGTGGGGGTACACCAGGCACCAGGATGTCTATCCTAGGTTTTCGAGGGACGTGTGCTAACTTAAACGAGGGCCAACACCCCGGACATTTTTTAGTTGACATAAAATTGATACAATTTCTTTTTCAGCCGCCCAAAATTGGTTTGATAGAACGAATGGCACCGTAAGGGATGTTTATAATACAAGCTCCTGCATACCAAAGCCCTATGCTTGTCCACATCCGCAGATACAGTTCTATTTGTATACCAGGTGAGTTAGCTGCTGACGCTTTAACTTCCTGTGTAATTCCAAACACATTTCGATAAACTGTTACCGTAATTATGTAATTGGACCTATAATTATGACGTTATCAAGTGGAAAAAAGTGAAATGTACAGGAAGAAAGTTGGTAATACACTTATTTGCAATTATCTAAAGTAGGTACATGTGAAATGTGGTTCGTTGACATTTTACTTTTCCACTAATAGGCGCACACAAGAACATCCAGAGCTAATCGACTCCCTAGACAATAACTCACTGTACAACACGCTTTTTAATCGCAAAAATCCAACGAAGCTTGTTATACACGGCTTTGGGGGCGGAAGGAATCTATCTCCCAGTACGGATATGAGAAAGGCGTACTTTACGAATGGCGCCTATAACATCATAATCGCCGACTACGGTACATTGGTACGCGAACCCTGCATAAAACAAATGGAATGGGCGCCTCGTTTCTGCGCCTTTTGCATAGCCCAATTCATACGCTACCTAAGCTTGCATCCTCGAGGAATCAAGGCCGACAAGATTCACATTGTCGGGTACAGTATAGGGGCTCACATCGCCGGCATTATCGCCAATTACCTCGATCCGAAGATTGACGGAAAATTGGGGAGGATTACGGGTAAACTTCTAATCCTCGTGAAGGACGTGTTAAAATTAAATTATCTTCAGGCTTAGATCCGTCCATATTCTTCTACATGAGTGGGAATCGGTCACGGGACGTCGACGCATCCGACGCCCATTTCGTCGACATCCTCCACACGGGATCGGGAATCTTAGGACAATGGGGACCGAATGGTCATGCAGATTTCTACATAAATGGTGGATCTAGTCAACCGGGTTGTAGCGGTGATTCATTATTCCGTAAGTTGCTTACTGATTGGCGGCCTATTAAGCGTTTTTCTTACAGAGACGGTCGCATGCGATCATACGAAAGTGACACCGTATTTCATAGAGTCGATTGTGTCAAACAGAGGATTTTATGCGTATCCATGTCCAAATTTGGTCAGTTTTCTGATCGGCTGGTGTAATCCAGAGGACCATGAGTATGTGTTGATGGGAGAACACGTATCCCACAAGTAAGTGTCTTCAATTTCAAAAAAATTATTATTCGTTCATCGTACTGCATCTTGATCCACCTAAACTACCAAAAATATCAAACCAAAGCTGCAGTAAATAGAAACAATATGTATAGGTACGTTTGGTTGTCGCTTTTTGTTGATAACTTTTTAATGGAAACGATGTTATAGTAATTATTGACTCTCAAACCCCAACGTACGGGGAAGCGAAGAAACGGTGTTAAATTGAACAGAACAGACGTGTCAAAAGTGTTTTACGAACACACAACTTGTCAAAAGCTGAATTTAAAAGTAGTAAATTAGCGCTGTCTCAACAATCCGACTATTTGTTAATGGTGAAACTTATCAAACCATCAGGGGAAGCGCATCTAGACCGCGCTATGAGATCATCACATCTTTAGGTGTCGGACTTGATATTTACCTTCATTTCTTACTGTTACTACCTATGGGTGTAGGTAGGGGGTCCTTAATAATCCGTGGCCATGTTGTCTGATTTATTCTAATTGTTCTCTTCCATGTTAATCTGTTTTGAGCCAATACCCCAACTTCCCTCCAACTTATCACTCTCTGCTCGGCTGCCTGTCTGACTTGCTCTACCCTGTTTTTTCCTAGTATTCGTTCCTCAAATATTTTTTTGGCTGATTTTTCATCACTCATTCTGGGTAGGTGGCAAAGCTATAACTTTTTCTACTGGTTGTATGTTTAATTCTTCTACTACTACTCTATTTTTTAGTCTTTTAGTTATTCCTTATATTCTTCTAATGTATCTCATATTCATTGCCTTAATTTTGGTTTTGTTCTTTCGCTTAACGTCCATACTTCGCTCTCGTATATTAATGATGACCTTGCTACTTCTTGATAAATTTGCGTTTAGATCTCTTTAGTGATGTCCTTCTTTCCAAATGCATGTTGTATATTCACGACTCTTTTGAATATTTTAAGAGCTCTTACAAACCAGCTATTTGAGAGAATAATACCTGTATTATTTCAGGGCTAGAGGCATATACTACGTCAGGACAAACCCTCAAGTACCTTTTGCCCAAGGCGACCCGCGAAAACGAAGAAAAACAAACAATTCCACCACCACGTGAAGACGCTTCCAAAGTACTTAACTATTGTTATTGCAATAATTTTATTTAATACGCTATACGTATACATAGTTACAACAAAAACAATACAGCAATAAAAATGTTTATAATATTATCAACAATTAATTATATACGCGATGGCCAGTCAAAACACAGATAAGTTGAGCTCGTAGGTATACACATATTCTTTTCCCTTTATATAGAATAAAAATGATACATTTACTAAACATTTTATTCTGGTAAGAGTCTAGAAAAACATTTAAGAAATGCATTGTATCTTTTTTAAATAATTATTGCCTCTACACTATTGTCCTACTTTTGACACTTCGCTTTAACACAATTTTTACAATAACAGAAAGGTACATCTACGATTCAAATGAAAGACATCTCCCTATACGCTAAGTATTGCCTATTTAATAAACAACAACTACGAGATTTATTGACCAAGATAGAGAGAAGTATACAGAAATATAAGACGGAGGAAACGATGTTGCCTAAAATAAACAAGAAAATTAAACTCAACCGATTCTTTACACGTTACTAATTTTAATAATGTACAATTGACGTGTTTCAATGATATAACTGTACATAACCTAATTTTTTGACAAGTATTATGTGCACATAGAGAAAACGTAATATTTACATGATATTGAATGAGACAAATTCGCGCCCCGCTTTTCAATTGACGCACTACGTTTGCACACACCGTATACTTGCCCGTCTACATTTGCACAAAAATATTCTAATTATTATCTCGATTATTATCAACGATCAGACATGGTACTTTGTACCCGTCTCAATTATTGTCAGCACAGCCGTGAGAGTGACAACCACCTCAATATTACATAATTAACCTAACTATTCTACAGAAAACCGAATTTTTCAAAAACTTTCAGAGGAAACAATCATCCAAGTAGCAGAAATGCACGAGGAAATTAATAAAGAAAAGCGTAAACGATATGTCGTAATATATATTTATGAGATTTTATTGCGTATTGTTACGAAATAAATTTAACAACTCTTGAACCATTCTTTTCCTATCTACCCTTAATACTGATCGGAGTAATTATAAACTTTTTATATACAATTAAACGTAAACGCAATTAAATTGACAATTCTATTTTTATATATAAATATACATCTGATAGTGCCTTGTCTAACAATTGCAGATTTGTTTGTAATAAACAATTTAAGGTTCCGCATTCGGAACCCGAAAGGCGACTAATCATCCTATAATTATTATAATAATGCACATAATGTTGTTTCCGTAAAGTTATAAAAAATAAAACAGTTAAATCTAAATTTATACAAAGCCCACATTAATACTCCCTGTCGTCCACAGTTCCGTGCATGTAAGAGTCGTGTGGTTCAGGCTGTACGGCTTCCTGCCGAAAGGGATTTGTGCTCTGCACGAACGGATTTCCAGCGGATACTATCGGCGGGGCAGGTGGCTCTACCGTGCCATAATTGACGTTTTTGCCACTTAGACGACGTTGCAGTAGACCGTTACTTTGTACCTGGAGCGAACAAGCTTAGATCGTGAGAGGTAAAATGTCAGACTTACGCTTGAAGACTTTTTAATTTCACCGTCGAAGGCCGCGTCGTAAGGGTTCCATTGCTTGTCTTCGAGAGATTTGCTTTCGGCCCATGGTTGTAATTCGCCGGACGCGAAGAGTGCGTAGAAAACTACGCCGACGTAATGCACCATTGCTGCCATTATAAAAACTAGTTTCCATTCGTCGTCAGACTGCAAAAAAGAATGTTGTTCAAAGACCTTTCGGTTGTGTGGTTGTTGAAATGTATTCCCGTAATAATTTGCCAAATAATACGCGATTCGTTGGATAGCCTGTACTAAACATGGTTTTAAAGTTACTTGGAAGATGGTTTGTCGGACGGTAATTGACTTACGGAAGATACATCTGAAAGACACTCTCTCCAAAATACTCATTTCGTGGAGGAATGAGAGCACCCAAGAGAAGTTTGTGATCGTCCCACACAGAGCTGGGCAGAATACTTTCAAAAGGTATTTGAATACTAAATAGTAAATACTTTACACAAATCAAAGGTATTTGAATATTAAATACTTTTACGTCCAGCACAAGCGAATACTAGATACAGATACATTGAAAAGTATTCAAATACTTTAGAATGTATTCGAATACTATAAAAAGTATTCGAATACTTTGAAAAGTATTCGAATACAGTAAAAAGTATTCAAATACTTGTCACTCAAATACATTAAAAATTTAAAATAGTATACTAGATAAAAGTCTTAATACTACTTAAAAAATCAAGTTATACTTTGTATGGGGTTAGCTTTTTTTATATTTCTATTGTTATATACAAATTTAAGGGGAGTAAAAGCGTATTATTATTATTATATTATTATATAGGAGGTACCTACCAGGACCTTTCTTATACCAGTTATATCATTAAGAATACGTGTACCAGTTTTCAAAGCGTAGTGCACATGATACGTACGCCATTCTGAAATTAATCCTAGCGATTTTGGAACAGATCCATTTTTGACCATCCGTTTGTCCGTGTGCATGATAGTTTGTTTAGAAACGTGCGATTGCTTTGAAAATTGGTACACATGGTCTTAAGGATATAAGAAAGGTCCCTATTGTTTTTAAGTTACGTAGACTATCGAGTCAAAAAGTTTCACTCCAGGATCGTTCGGTATTCAGTTGTATCGGATTTTTATATTTGATTTTGACAATGGAAACTTTCCCTAAACATTTCTAAATTGTTCTCAAATATTTGAATAACATAAAAGTACCGCCTTTTTTTGGGGCCGGAAAAAAAAATGTCTGAGATCGACCGGCATTTTCTTATAGAATTTGGCCCGTAGAATCCATAATTTCAAACAGTTTGAAGATTGGGCTACTAGATCAAAAGTTACAGCCCTTTGAATTTTTTTTTCGAAATTTGTTTTTTGTCCATAATTTTTTATTGAAAGGTCTAATCGAAAAAGTACGAATCGTTTTGGATTCTACGCACCAAAATTAATAAGAAAAAGTGTTTTCCGGAGAAATTTTGGTGTAGTCAATTTTTGGTAAAAAAGGAAGGTTATACACTGCCTTTTTTTGAGGCTCGAAAAAAAAATTGTCTCAGATCAACCCGGAAAAAAAATTTTCTTATAGAATGTGGCCTGTATAGAATCCATAATTTCAAACAGTTCCAAGATTGGGCTACTAGTCCAAAAGTTACAGCCCTTAGAATTTTCTTTCGAAATTGGTTTCTAGTCTATAACTTTTGATTGAGAAGTCTGATCGAAAAAGTACGAATTGTTTTGGATTCTACTCACCAAAATTAATAAGAAAAAGTATTT